GCCGCTAGAGCTAATGACGGTTCGGTAAGCCAGTCTTGAAGAGCATAAATATCGTTACAAATAAAAGGGCAGAGGCAAATTATTCTTCTATAAGCTCTATAACGGATGTATCATTGGCGCTGTAATTCAAATATTTGTGCCGGAAAGAATAAAAGCTTTTCAGACGTTTTCCTGCCTTCCAGAGAACTGTGTCAGGGAGCGGTGCGCACAGACAGTCCACCTTGGCTCGCGTCCGACGCGCGACTGATAAAAGTTAATCTGGATTCTGGATTTTGAGTTTTCGACAACCTCATAAAACCTAATCTCTACAATCCTCTCGCATGCTTCCAAGGATCTTGTTAATATATTAACCAGATCCCTAAAATTTTGAGGAATAAACTTATAACATGAATTAATGATCCCCAAATAATTGGCATGAAGTTCAATGAAAATCACTGAATTCGAAGAAAATACTAAATATAAGTAATAAATAATGATATATAACTCGTTTTTTAATTAACGGAGTTGCTGCTAAGGAAAGCTGATAGCCTCATAGAAAACAGAGAAAAGAAATCCGTTGTAAAAGAAATGTAAATCCAACCCAAAAGAAATGTCAACAATTGTAGTTTCCACAGAGAAGCCCAACAGAAACGAAAGTGACTACGTATTATCGGTTGACTGCCGATAGCGTACGGTACCTAACTACCTACGTTTCCCCGAACTCGCCAGCGGACTGAGACGCTAAAACGTACATGACGCTTATGATGCACATGGTGCCTTGCAGTGTCTTGTTGCATTCTCCACACTTGTACTCTGAATATTCAGTTTATAACTACCTTAAATCTAACTACGTATAAGCACAAATTTAAAAGATAACTAATCAGAAGCGATATGCCGTAATACGAATGATTGTACCTTATTTATATTACGTTATTTGATTTTTGATGAAAAGGAAACTTTTTGGAACCGTCACGAGCAGTGTTCCCAAAGTGGGCGGTACCGTCCCCCTGGGAATGTGGAATGATCTGGAAGGGGGGCGGCGAGGAAGAAAGGGGCAGGTGGGGGGCGGCAGTTCGAAGTTCGAACGTTTGTTTGACGATTTGTACACAACACGTGCAGCACGTGACTCTATACTACGTCGCGGCCGGTCTCACGCCCCAATTTAAAAAGAAATTCAATAATCAAAGAATATATCCCATACTAATGAACTTAACTCGATGAAACCTTTTAAACGCATTCAATAGGACCTAACGGTGATGAAAATTTTTGGAATTTAGCCTTCATTCGTTGGTTATATGGCGGTACAGGCCGAAATTCGCAGTGATCAAGGAATTTATTCCTAACTGCTGAACAGATTCGAACGAAATTTTGATTAAACATACCTAACTACCGAATGGCGATGCTTAGCTCGCGAAAATTTTTTCGATTTTGGCCGCTTCACCTTCATTCGTGATTTAAACAGCAAAAAGTGCATGAATTCGCAGTAATCAAGAAATTTCTTCTGGACTGCTGAACAAATTTGAACGAAACTTAGTATGTAAATACATAACCTCAGCAACGGTGATGTTTAGCTCGTGACAATTTTTTCAATTTAGCCTTCGTTTGTGAGTTATACGGCTATACGTATACGGCTCTTGGGAAAACCGGTCGAAATGCCGGTCGTTTCTCCGTATATCCGAAGGCAAAACGAAGACAAAAACGAAATATAAACGAAATATACGTTTATAAATATACGAAATATACGAAGGCAAAATAGACAAAAATTGTCATTAGCTATACGTTACCGTTGCTGAGGTTAGGTATTTATATATTAAGTTTCGTTCAAATCTGTTCCTAAGTTTAGACAAAATTTCTTAATCACCGCGAATTTAAGCGACCAATTCGGCGATACGGGCCGGAAATCACGAATGACTGTGAAATAAAAATAAAATCGCACGAAACGGAAGAAAATAGAAATTTTTTTCACGAATTAAACATCACCGTTTGGTAGTTAGAAATGTTTATTCAAAATTTCGTTCGAATCTGCTCAGTATTTTGAAGAAATTATTTGATCACTGCGAATTTCGGCCCGTACCGCCATGTAACTTACGAATGAAGGTGAAATTAAAAAATTTTCAGGAGCTAAACATCCACGTTAGGTCCTAATGAATACGTGTTCCAAGTTTCATAGAGCTGCGTACATTAGTTTGGGAGATTTTCTTTGATAAATTTAATTTGGAGATGGGCCGTGAAACCGGCCACGAGTACGGCCGTAAATCTGTCAAGAGACGTCCTGGGTTTCTAGTGCTGAAACAGTTAAAACTGCTAAAAATATATTGGTTTACTGGGGTTATATCTGTGAAATACACATTTGTGTCCAACATTCCACTTTTAAAATTGCAGAGTACTAAAGTACTAAATATCAATAAAGAGGCGTTTGTTTTTAATGTGTCTGTAGGGGGGGACGCTAGAAATTCACTGGGGAGCCTAAGGGGGCGCCAGCCTGATAAAGTTTGGAAACCACTGGTCTAGAGGAATATTTTCTAGAAAATTTCAGTAGAGCGGAGCTGATTTTGCAAACTGTTATACGTAAAATGTCATGAGTTAATAATTGAAAAATTAGTTCGAGGAATCCTTCGAAATTAAATTAAATAAATCTAATTGCAATGATTGAACTGTAAAAGAATAAACTAATTTAAATCAACTACATAACAGATTTTATCTTCTCGCAAATAAAATGATTTATATATCACACTGGCCGAATAATGATGTTGGCCGAATGTTCAAAATATTACAGCAGCAAAAACCTGAAGCACAATGTCATATCCTCAAGCGTTTAAAGTTTCTCACCTGCCACCAGCGACTACTCCAGAGGCATCCAGGGCGGAATCCGACGCGCAACCACGCTGTTCGATGGACGCTGAGGGCACACTCCCTTCAGGCACTGCATTCAACACCAAACCAGACGCGGTCTGCTCTACCGGTCTCGAGATAGTCTCGCCAGAGGAAGACGCGAGTGTTGGGTCTGAGGAGGTGAACGAACTTCGCTGTGTAGCCGTGAGCAGCTTCCGAGTTTTTTCCACTGTCCCGCCGCTGTGCTTTTGAGGTGAAGGCGTTGAGGTCAGTGCCGTCTGTCGAGATCCATTATCAAGGACGCTCCATGGCCTTCTTCGTTCGCCCGCACGTCGACGACGATTGCGCAATACAGCCTGAAAATGTCCGATAAATAGTCTATGAATTTAGGCTATTCAAGAAGATGATGTATGTACGTATTATTTCTCAGTAACTAGGTATAATCTGGTATAATCAAGATGAAAAAAAGGATGATTTTGTGGAATCATCTTGGCATGAAAATTGTAGAACAGGTTTTAAAAACAGCACCGTAATCGAATTTTAAATAGATACAGACACTTAGTATTCATCTCATGTTTCCTCAATTGAAAAGACTGAATTCGAATGCATGGGCAAAGGAAAAGAATTGATAAATAAAAGCGCTTTTAAAAATTTGCCGCAAACTTGCTTGAAACCTTAGATTTTTTGTCAAAAGGTTAATGATTAGCACAGTACTTGAATTTAAGATAGGATTGAGTAAATAGGAAAGACTGACCTTGGTAGGTTCCGAACCAAGAGTGAGATTGGCAGGACGTTCAACGACAGGAGTGGTGACGACCGACTGGGGCAAATCCTTTGCCATGTGAGAGGTGAGCGTAAAGTCACCGGATTCACACGATGAGTCTCCTTCACTCTCGCCCGTCGTCATTTCTCCTGAGGCATCACACGAGTCCAGGAGCGCCGGGGCGCAGGGTTGAGTGGCCAGCCAACTTTGCACGCGTTCATGCTTAACTGACCTGGGCGAAGTAACTTCAAAAGATAGCGGACCAAGATTGCTTGGTGGCACGCGGCAGCGAGATCCACCAAGGTTCAACGAGATTGGCGTCCTGGGAGACACAATGGGCGAAGGCAGAGGCGTGGCTTTCACTAAATTCTCAGCGGCGTTGACCAGCTGATGGATAGAACTGTCCAGCTTTGAGGGAGCCGCCAAAGAAGTTCGTGATTGCTGAGGTCCCTCTTCGCTACCAGTGTCCATCGTCTCCAAAGCCGGTGGTTCATCACTCCCTTCTTCGCAACTTGGATCCTCGAGGCCATCAGACTCGACTTTCAGCCAGTCAGGTTCCATTATGGACGAATCAATGATCTTCTGAAGCCCATCGCTATCGTATTCCTCATCAGGCTCCTCGCGTTGTTGCTGCCAGCTCCTGCGACCAACTCGACCCAACGACGACAAGTTCAAATTGTAGTTCGAAGTCTCTCGCATAACTGATTTTGATGCAGCGCCGGGTGAAACATCTTCCACGATGGTGTTGAAATTATTCTTCGACAGGTTACAAACACCTTTGCGCTCTAATTTTGGCGAATCTTCGACATCGGTGTCTTGATGCTTGAACTCGTAAATTGCTCGATTTGGTGAACCCTGATGGAGATGGGTCTCCTCTTTTTTCCCCTCTTGGTTTTCCATTACGTTGCCGTTTATTTTACTTGCTTCCCTCGCTTCAGACTTGCTCGGTGCGATTGTCATTTCAACGATATCAGCAACTTGATCAGCGACAACAATTCCTTGACCCGCTTCACTATCAGGAATTAAATTTCCCTGTAAGTTTGGCGACGCCGTAACTTTCGGATCGGATTCCTGCAATTGTGTTAAGACGACCGGATTTCGCTGAGTTTCTGGTAAGGCATTCTTGGTCAACCGTCCCTTCAGTGTCGAGAGCCGAGCTACAGGAGAGTTGGACGCGTGACACGGTTCATCGCCGTCACTCATGCAGACGTAATCATCCTGTTAAAACAAATATTCATTACACAACTATTGAAGAAATAATGGACAAGAATTAAACAGCTACTAAATTAATTATTACGCATGAATAATGTAATATCAGATGGAATTAAGCACCGATCGTGGCAAAAATTGGTACTACGTATAACAGGTAGAGAAATTAATTAAACAATAAAAAGGCCCAAATAATATCTAAAATTCAACGACACAAAAAATCGAGCATTTATGATGAAAAGTTTGCGAAAAACGATAGAAATTGGAGATTGACAAAACATATGTACAATGGTGAACTGACGAGTGTTTTTTCGATGTTGAGAAATTACGGCGTTTAAGCAAAACGCTAGGAGTTCAACTAACAGCAAACATAGAATAAAATATGAAATGCACGATAAATTACTGTTAAAGCAAAGCGAAACGTCGAATATTGTCATGCAAACGACAGAAGAAATTAATATCAAGTGTTTCTTAAAACTGCACAACTTATTTATGATTTTTTATGCGATTTTCGTGCTCCAAATCGAGAAGAAAAACATTTAGCGACATTCGCGCAAACGAAACACATTCTGTTGGCGCAGAAAAAAAAACTTTGAAGGTGAGTCAACTTTTGAACAAAACAACATTTATTTAAATTTAATCATGCACCAAAGTTGAAAATGTGCATCTCACCAATAGACAACGTCGGCGTCTGAGTCTGCGAAGGTGCACTTGCTGAAATTCGTGCAACAAAATACTTAGTTAGTGCCCGAGTGCTGTGATCCTTATTCTATGCAGTGCGTCCTCAATAAATACTATAACAAGATGAGAAACCAAAAGTCCCACTATAATCACGAGGAATATTTTACACAAATATTAATTAAGGATTAATAACCACGAGCCGCCCAAGTCCCATACTGGGTTACACTAGATTCGAATGTAGGAACAAGCTCTACACGAGTTTCAGTATTATTATTAACCATCTGAAATCAATCCCTGAACGATATACCTCTGATTAATTTTGACACTAAGCGGTTAAGATAGTGCCACCTAGGAACGAATGCTACTTGTATTTTATAATCGAATTCGTCATAGGAATAACCAGTAAAATATTTGGAATTTCGTGTACGTAAACGATATGGTAACGTGGTTGTGTACACAAAAACTAATAGGCAAAGAAGAACATGAAGACCGAAAGCCCTGAAAAGATTCTTGGAGTTACATAGAACTATAAAAGACGTTTGCTGCGTTATGCAGTTTTACTTGAGCATCTTTTATAACGTATAAGGCTTGAATTTGACCATTTTATCAATTTCCGTTAGAATACTTCCAGCTAAAGAATGATCTTCCTTCAAGAGCAGCAGCAACGTTAGCTGTTCAAGAAATAAGATGGCGCTGCAAGACGAGAACGTTTTTTAGTGCCAATGAGAAATTCAATAAATGTACCAGAAAAACTAGTTAATCCGCCATCGAGCCCGGGATACAGAAAAAAAGCGATATAAAAACGACTATTTCTTTCTTACATGCAAAGTTAGACCTTAACTGCAATAATGAAGCTATGAATTCTCGCCGCTCACCTCGATGTAGGACCCAGTCTCAGAGATGTTCAGTTCGCCATCCTGCCATTGTGCACATCTGGTGCTCCTGAGCCTGTCTTCATCACTCCTGAACTCATTGGCAAGGCGCCGCTTCTTGCGCCGGGGCTTTCGTCGTGAGGCTATGGACTCGGCGCGACGACGTACAGATCTCCGACCATCTTCTCGACTGGGGGACCGCCTCGAACGACTAGAATCAGACGATCGCTTCCTGCAGGATCTGGCAAGCGAGTGTAGCGGCCTGCTACGGTCAACCTCGTCTACAGCAACGCGCTCACACAGGGATGATATATCAGATGCAGGATTCTCGGCTTGAAGGCTTGGACAGGGCTTCTCTGGATTCGGTGAAAACAGAGACTCGAATTCAGATATGGCACTTATACTGCGGATGGGGGAAGCTTCGCGGGATGACGCACTCGAGTCCGAAACGTTGCGGGAGAGCGCCGTGGAGCTCTGAGGGCGGAGAGATGACCAGGTGGAGTGCAGAGATTCTGACGATGAGGCGGACAAACGACGACACTTGGAGAGCGGTTCGTCGAGGTCTGATCCTGATGTGCTGCCGTGCTCCTGAAACCAGACAAAGTTATTAATATATTTTAGTTATTATCGACATTTTATGTTCATAAATATTTATTATAAACACATAAACCCTGAAACCAGACAACTTTATTAATATTTTAGTTATTATAAACATTATGTTTATAATAACTATATAAGCATATAAAGTAAACATTCAAAAATGAACTAAGCAGTGTGCAGCAGATAAATTATTTAGTTGCCACGGATAAGAGAAAATTGAGGCGGACTTCAGGCATTTGTAAAAATGATTAATGCATCACTAACTTGAACAATGTTACTGTTAATTCTGTAATTAACTTAAATTATGCAAGAAAATGAACAAAATAAAATAAAGATAACTGACAAAACATGAAATTTAGTTTTACATGGAAGAGATTATATAATGCATAGTAACTAAAAAATTAAAAGTGATTAATAATTAATAATAATTTATAAGAGAATCAAACATGTAAAAAAATGAAAATGGAGGAAAAATCTGGTCACGAGCGGTATAATTGCGGGCTGTGCAGATGTGCGAACAAATAAGAGCCAATTGTAGCGGGCCACCAGGTCAATAAAGAAGGCGATACGACAGGCGGCGTGAGGGCACACATGCCGGTCGAGGGAAATGGCATACAATAGAGGGGAGTGTCAATAGGAACATGAAGGCATTAGCGAGCAGGCTTTTTAGGCGCAAAATTTATAAGCGACCTTAATGTGATTGCCGAGGCTGCACCATCAAAGCTCGCATTAGGCACACATGGCGGCTAACAGTTGGAGTGGAATTAAGACATTTGATTTATTACAATAATTGTATATTATTGAAACACTGCCTAATGATGATTTTAATGACTTTGGTACGAATTATAGTCGTACAAATTTTAAAATAAACAGTTTAAAAAGTTCCATCCCCCAATGGGGTTGATAACGAAACTGAGCTGAATTACATTCTAAAGTACCTAATAACAGCTGGCTTGAAACTCATTTATGTTATTGCGATGTACGAAAAAAGTTTTGTGTGCCGCAAGCAAGTCAACCACTGCTAGGTTCTTGCTGAAGGGCGTGGCAGTCGCAACCTGACGGCACCTAATAATTAGGAGTATGAGCTCCCATCAGAAGTGAATGGCTTTAATGAAGGGCACAAGGAGCGGGCACGCAATATATCAGTCATTATAATAACGGAACGAGAGCGGAATTTCACTTAACGGCAACCGCACAGCCGGTCGTTAGATGAACCACAGATGCGCTGTCATTATTACTTTTCTTTATACCGTTAACCGAAGGCTGTCGAATAGTTTGAGTGTTAACCGACCGTGCAATAAAGACCGAAATTGAAAAGAAAAAACAATTTGAAATTGCTACCTTTATTTGAGAAGAGATTTCCCACTGAAACGACAATTGACGATTGATTAATAATAATAATGAACAACAGCATGAAGAAAATGTCAACGTCAGGATAACAAGTAAATAATAGAACGATAACAACCAATATTTAAGTTCGGTGATAAAGAGATGAAAAAAGAATATCCAACAATTGCCAGGCTTCTTCCGACGTGCAGCAAAAACGTCAAGAAGACAAACTTAGAGATCATGACCTGTTATTTGCAGCTGAGAATTTCCCTTCAACTGATCAGATAAGAGCAAGTTTCAACCGCATTACCAGCTCCATGATTGCGACGCAATGCACTGATGCCCAAGATAAACGATGACAAATTGTGACCGGAATAATTCAACTCTATCCGTCAGAATTCATTCTGCTGCTTTAATCGGAGCTAAGAAATTTAGCCAAACAACTCGTATGAGATTTAAACAAATGTGAAAGTTGCTGGAATAGCGACAGCTAAATGTGGACACGTTAATTTTATTATTAATGGACGAGATAAATAATGGACATATAAATAATGGACGAGAATATGTAGTAAATATGCCTAAAAGTTTTAAGAATTGGCGACGTCCATGTCAGCCACGACCGAATAATATACCACCACCACCAGGATAACGTTTAGAAACTAAATTTTCTTACAACGTAAACAAAAAAAAACAAGATTTAGGTTTGGGTGATGCCTGAGGATGATGATGCATCACCCCTTATTTTGGGTGATGCCTGAGGAGTTTTAACGTGAAAATTTGATATCTAACTAATCTCGCCCGTGCTGCCTCACTTCACCCTTTTTTAAAGAATTTTCACCAGTTCCTTGTTTGACAACGTAGCAGCAAATTTCAAGGTGCTTCAGCTACTACGGGTAATCCTCACCTCGATCGTCATCTTCTGCGACTATCAAGTTCAAGGCTTTAGGGATACGCAGTTTTTGAACATGTTTAGTCCTTCATCCTCATTTGATCTCATGGAGTAGAGCCAACATTCGAAGTCTAGCCTGAGCCTGGTCAGGACCTTGGACGCATACGTGGGCACGCGCTAGAGTGGATGTCGTCAGCACTACCAAAGACCTCGGTGGCACTCACGCGCTGTGGCTGCGACCACTACTTTGGGACCCAGGCAACTTACCTCTGCGCGGGTGCGGACCAACCCCAAGAACCAGCACTGCTTCAGCGATTCACCGAAGCATTTTTAGTGCATTTTCTCATTTATGGAAAAAATGCATTTTGTGCTCGCCATTTCTGTCCGTCTGTCTGTCCGTCCGTGACTTCACGTTTTCGTCGACGAGAAAATTCGCTCTCTGTCACTCACTGCAGTGAGTACTGAGTTATATTTTTTAGTACTTCATGCAGGTATACGTCACCCTATCTTCGTGTAATCGGAGCAAGCGGTGATGAGGTGCTTGAGACTGTTTCATTTTCACTTAAAGTCCCGACTAAATAGTCTGTAATAATCACTACAGCGATAATCTTCGATAACTTTGAATTTATACATGCTTCCTCACAAGATTCTATTCATATAAACCACACGTTACACAAAATCTGTAGCAATAAATAATTTGCACCAACTCGGAATACTTTCCGTTACGATTCTCGAATTTTGAACTTTGTCTTTGATGACCTTTCACCTCATCGAGCATTTGCTTTCAACGTCCGCGTTGAAACCGTGTTTAATTCTTCAGAGCTTACGGGTTGGGCAGACGCGGGAGCGAAATGCGGCTATTTTGCCTCTTCACGCACGTTGAAGAGGAACCGCTACTGCAATTTATTCAGCAGCACAGAGCAATTTCCTGGAGTTGATAACAATTTCTACCATCTTGCGACTTTTCAATAAAAAAATTATTTCAGCATGGTTTAATTCTAGTTTTCTTGCCTTCGAATTCATTTTATAAGCTCATACCTCAAAGTTTTTTCCACAACGGAAGATCAATTTTGTAAGAATAATTTGCGTTTCATGTCTGAAGCCAAGGCTGCTAGGATTCATTTTTTTTTGCAGTGAATTAAGGATCAATTGCGACGGAAATTGTGTTTGGTAATTTGGACGACATGACGAGGCAAAGGTCGCTTACGGAAAGGAAGCGGTGACCTTAGGAAGCTTGCGAAACGTTCAAGCGTAAGAACCAGGAAATGAATACGACATAAACGCAAACTTATAAGAATTCTAAACTCAACGTTTGGGGACAACACATTCAACTACCTAAAAAGTGATGAGGTTCTTTGTTTGTAGGTATGTTTTAATTATATAAATTTTATACACCGACGTTCTTGCTAAGCAAGTGAGCAACAAGCTATGGATATAAATGCTACATATTTCCAATGGCTCGTAGCCCACGTAAAATTGGTAACAATCGTATCAATGAATGTAAAAAGGAACATTATTGTTATTGCACTGAAGGTTTCTTTTGTCTAAGGGAATTTCATCATTATTTTATATGCGGCCATCAAAAATTCCCGTTGGCCGTCTTCAGAGCAGATCTAATACTTTGAGGAAGATCTAAAAAGGAAATAAACTGCTTTCGAGGTTCTGTTTCTTGCGGTGGGTCAATTCTCTCGACTCGGAAAAACAATCAGGAAGGGAGACTAAATAAGAAATCAAAGGCGCGTCCCTTGATTACTTTTGTTATTCGAATATAACCAGTAAAAACAGAAATTAATTTACTGGGCTGATTTCTCATTTTAAGTATTAAAAAACATTAATTGTATCACAACAGAGTAAAATAAAGCAATCTGAAGAAGGAAAAAACACAGCGTCTTATAAGATTCCAATAATCACATGGATTTCAATTTTTACTATGATTTCATTTGAGGTCGATTACAACACAGAAAATGATAGTGTTGCATGTTCATCTGTGCGTTGAGATAGAGAGATAACAAAATCTCTTCTTAAACTGATTGGCCTATATCGAAATGAAAGGTATTGTTAACCTCTCCACCTATGAAGGAAATCGGCGATCTACTGGTTTATACTAGAAATTAAATACCAACAGAAATAGATTTAAATAACTATAATTTATTATTCAAAAGACCCCACGAATACAAAGTTCAAGATTAAAACGAAGAAGCTTCAAGTTAGCGGCGTTAACATGGTAAATAATAATGACACCTGTCTGACTCCTTGTCAGAAAATCAGCAGAACGAACATAAGAAAGAAGTGACTGAGGTCCTCTAACCAAGCCGTTGCTAAGCTCGAGTCTCTTATTCTGATAATTGCTCTTCTGTATGGGCTGAACGTCAGGCGCGAGCACCCAACCTCATATTATATGCCGTATGAGAACCCAGGACGCTCCATAAAGCTCTTCACCGAACATAACGCCAACTGAGACAATGGACATGGCAGGCGAGACGCCCTAGCTGGTGTTCTGCATTGATATTTGGAAAGGTTAAGAACAATAGGGAATCTTCGACCAATATTTTAGTCCAAGATGTTTCAGGTGTCTTCTTTGGTGCAAAACTGTCCATGGAACCATATGCGTTGAGAAGCCAAAAATGATTCAGAATGAGAACATTTCAGCACCGATTCGACATAGAAGTCAAGTAAATCATGCTTGAAAAAACCTTGCGAGGTTATCAAGTCTTAGTACGATCCAAGAAAAGTATTAGCAACAAAAATAACCATAAAATTAGCATGATGTTCAG